ATAAAACTGCATACTCAAAATCTTTCTAAGTCCAATTTGAAAGCTTTTTAAGAAATCGAATAAGAAAACTTTAAATCGTTACCGAATTACGGATTTTATTAAGCAGTAAACTATAGCTTTTTAAAAATAAATATAATTAAATATCAATAAATTAAATATTTCGACTTGTCAATACGTAGCGCGTTTATAGCTTTGACATGGGATATATTTTCCTTTTTAATTATTTAAATGAATTGATTTTGCGTTTAGTATAGTTTTAAAGTGTTAAAATAAACACATACATGTACATATTTCATGAATAAAAAATAAAACTATAATATTTGTTAAAGAACAAAAAAAATATCATTTGTGACGTGTTAATACATCAGCAATGACAATCGTCATATCTGATAGATTGTGACGGGCTAATACAACAACAATGACGATTGTCATATATGATGGATTGTGACGGACTAAAACATAAACAATGACGTTTATCTTCCCTGATAAATTTGCAATCAGCGCTGACCCAATAAAATGAATGAGAGTGAGTAGTGAAGATATATGTTTGGCTTTTCGGAAATTTCAATGCGTTATAGCAAGAGAAAAAATCACACGTATACATTTGTTTACATCAGTTTTCGCATAGTGCTCTTAAGAAACTGATATAAACTTTGTTCTACGTACTGACAAATTAATTTCATTTCTGATCGTCAGGTTAATGGTCAAATGGCTGACACTGTTCTTGCAGGGATGTTAAACCATATGCATAAACGTCTTTGTACACATATCAACATAAGCATATGTTCAAGCATATACATATATACATATATACAAGTGTGTGTGTGTGTATGTATGTTTATATATACATTAATATGTAGATATTATACACACATATTTATAACAATAGCAAAAAGAAACGAGGAGCACATCATACAAGGAGCAATAACGTGTAAGCAATGAAATATACAACAGATGAAATGGTATACCGAACAGCCAAAATGGAGTAGCACAAGAGTCGGAAGAGCAAGAAAATTAGTGCACACATACAACAGGAACTGGAAGGTTATGTGCCAGGCGAAATTCTCTTGACAATCCTTGATTTCCAATTTGAAAGTCGTAAACAACTAACTATCGGTTTTAAAAAAATACATATGTTCATATATATACATACATATTAAATATATAAATTCTTTGTTCTATATAATATGCATGAGTTTAGCGGAATGATTGTAGGTTTTTTAGGGCATTCTAAACCATGGGTATATGTACATACATATATGGATGTGTCAAGTTATTGCTTTGAAGTTGCTTAGTAATTTTTGATGGAGTAGATTTCTCACCTCATACTTCATCACGCTTTATGCAAAAACGTCTAACATGCATGGTAAAATTATATTGTTTTAAAAAATGTATGGCCCAGCAGTTCATTAGAATTAGAACATCTACATACATACACGATTACGCTACACGCTCTTTACTTAGCCCTTTTTAAGCTGTAAAAACGTTTATTAGATCATACGTTTTCTCACCCAAAACAAAAAAAAAAAATGGTAACACATTAGCAAATAAAAATAGGAATAGTAGGCACAACCACTTAGTCATAAAGAAATGCTATACAAAGAGTAATGAGCGTGAGATGCTACCCTTATTGATTTTTCTTAAAAAAAGTCACAGAGATGTACACTACACAGTTTACCATCTCCAAATCTACACCAATGCGTCGAACCAGTATACATGAAATATTTTTCGGCACATAGACACAAACACCGACGTACCGATTCCCATTGAGAATGAAGTGAATGCAACAGACAGAGGCCTCACTGATTTAACGAACTCGAGGTAAAGAAATGTAAAAGTGAATAAATGCATTTCAAATTAATTACACGTGCCTCTACGATAAACATGTCTACGTATGGTTACAAATGCTCCAAAGATTGAGTGTGAATACCTCCATATGTGCACAAGTATGTTTTACGACGCAGCTGGTTAATTTCAGTGGGCTTACCTTTGCGTTTGCCAGCGTTGTGAATATGAATGCTACGCTGATGTTATTTTTGTTGCCTTGATTTTGCTTCCACCTCTAACAATGGCGATCGGTTTCAATGCCTTCCACACGCAGTAGTATGCCCTTTATAAGCGTTTTCGTTTTTTATCTGTATCTTTTTTAAAGCAAGCTGATTCGCTTTATGCATATTTTTTTTCTTCGTGATTTCAGCACACACGCACAGAGTACAACACAGTATTCGAGTTTACTTTTTAAAGTATTCTCTTTTTCACTAAAGGGTGTTCACATAATTTTCAGCCACGGCACTGATCCCCTACTCAATTGTCTATTGGAGAATCAAACCGAAAATGGTCAAATGGCGGTGGCGACAGTTTCGTTTAACGGACGGTGCACGTAAAGCAATTTTCTTTCAACTTCGTTTTGAATCGTAGCAAAAGCAACTAAAAATGATTAAATATTATTCCACTGTTCTTCACTTACGTACGGATGATACAGTAAAAAGATATGAAATAAAATTTTTAAGATTGGGGAAAGAAATAATCCAACTTGCATGTCAAATGCTTATCGATGAACGATTGTAGTCCGTGAAGGTGTGTACTAAATATTTAATTATAGGTTTATGTCCATATGTACATGCATTTTGTGTTGATACTACTGTGCCTGTGCTGGTATCGTTCTTATATATCCGTGTTGGTATAAGCGCAGTTGATCCTAGAGTTCAACCTCAGCTCCTTCTCAAGAGAGTCCCCTCCTGCTACTCACAGACGTTCAATGACACAATTTTTTCTTTCTTTTTAACTTATTGCCCCATCCACAGCATGTAAAACGCGAATGCTTGAACTGCTATTTGTGTATGCGAGTGCGAGGCCTTCCGACGAAGTCCCGTTCGTATAGGTCACACAAAAGAATTTTTACATTAGAATTTCACGATAAATCCCCATGAAAATTCGGAATTTTAATTCCCAATCCTTACTTCGCTGGGTTCTTTTGCATTTTTCATTACTTTTACATATTTTCAAGCACTTCTATAAACTTAATTTTAGCTGAAAATTTCTGCACCGAAATGAAAAATTACGACAACGTCTAGTTATTGCATTGTAATAGAGTAGACAGTTTGACAATGGCCGACACAGGGTGTAATTCAATTTAGACATTAGTGTTCATGTGTTCAATAATTGTAATAGATGTGCGAAATTAGCAAGCAATAATTATCTTGATAAATATTGCCGGCAATTTGGTAGTTTGACAACAAAGTCAAAAGTTGTGTTCCAGCAGCAGTACTAATAGCAGGTTTTGCAGGATTTACAGGAACAGCTGTTATAGCCATTAATAAACCTTCTGTGAGGTGTCGTTCTCTGGTGTCGTGCGGGAACAACTTCCTGTAAAATCCTGCTATTCGTACTGTTGCTGGAACGCAACTAAAGAAAACTCAGAACATTGCTAGGTTCTTTCCCGTACGCAACGCGGGATCCCGCGGGTGCCCAAAACAGCCCACGTACGGCACGTATGCCACTTCTTTCGCATTCTTTTTTGTCATTGGGCCACTAAATTAACATACTAACGACAGATAAATTAATATTACATATCAATAATTGCATTAAAAACGATATTGCTTGCCCGCACTTGATTAAAAATGAAAAATATTTCACATAATTTTATTTATTTGCAACAACTGACGAGCGACGCACGCGGAAAGTTGGCCATCTTTTTGCTTTGTGTTGCTGTGAGCGTTGCCGATTTTGGCTATGCGGATGGCTGCATTTGAATTTATAGGCCCGTCAGAATGGGTAATTACATTACAGCCTTCACTACCAAGCGTTCATTCAGTGTTGGGGAAATAAGCGTTTTACCTTAATAAAAGCATTAATTTTTTTTTCATAACATTAACACAACAAAATTAAAGAAAAATAGTTAATATTTATAAGTATAAATCAATACACAAAACTTTTTCTCATGCTTACGAAGTAATACCGAAGTACTGCATATTAAAACTGGTTCATCTCGAGAGAGAAAAATCTAATCGCAACAAGCGAAAAAAGGAATGTAGATACTTTTAAATTCAGTGCTGCTACAGGTTTAAATATTTCAAATTATTTCATGTTTTAACTATCTATGAGAAATTTGAGTTCAGAAGAAAAGCAGTAAAAAAAGGCACTAGGCACAAAACAATTTTTTTTGGCGTTTTAATTTTCAAAAAGCACTAAATCTAATTTGAAAACACATTTCGTCGTTTAAAGTGCAAAACCGCGTATCAGCAAAATGCAAAACCGCGTATGTGAGGTTGTAGAAATTATTTTCTAGAGCGTAAAACACTCATATTTCAAAATGGTTCTCTTTTTTATAAGCAATCGCATTTCTGGCTAGTATATTTAAGGACGAATGGATAAGGATAAATTCATACGGCTTATGAACAGATTCATACCATGTAAATACACCATTATTTGACCAAGATTTGCTATTTGCCAAGAGCTATTTGGCTTGAGAGAGCTTGGGATGGTTGAATAAAACATGCCTAATGTGAACAATATACAACTATCGATAGTGTTCAGAAAAATTCGATAGTGACGGCAAAATGAAACCATCGATAGTTTTCCATCACTACTTTATGCTTTTTAATGAAGTTTTTACGGAAACCGCAATTTATATAAAATCATTTGTTTTCCAAGTGAGAAATTGATAGTTTATTAAAATGGCTGACAAAAATTCCGAACAAAGCATTATGGATAAGTCCATGAGATCCGTTTTCGGTAAATTTCATGTTTATATTTTGTTCTGTAATTTACAATGAAATTTTTTTAGTGGGGAATATTCCATATGAAGCAACGGAAGAGAAGCTCAAAGAAATCTTCAGTGAAGTAGGCCCAGTTCTATCGCTCAAGTAAGCTGTTTAAAATAATATTTGATATAAACAAATGTAATAAATTTCCAAACATATCAACTTTTAGACTTGTATTCGACCGCGAAAGTGGTAAGCCGAAGGGCTTTGGATTTTGTGAATACAAAGATCAGGAAACTGCCTTAAGTGCCATGCGTAATCTTAATGGCTATGAAATTGGTGGTCGCACATTGCGTGTAGATAACGCTTGTACCGAAAAATCGCGCATGGAAATGCAGCAGTTGCTACAAGGTCCGCAGGTTGAAAATCCATATGGTGAGCATTGCGATCCGGATCAAGCACCAGAAATCATTACTAAAACCGTTGCATCTTTACCTCCGGAGCAAATGTACGAATTAATGAAGCAGATGAAGCTATGCATACAAAATAATCCTTCTGAAGCGCGCCAAATGCTAATGTTGAATCCGCAGTTGGCATATGCTTTACTGCAATCTATGGTTGTGATGCGAATCGTTGACCCACAAACAGCGCTTGTGAGAATTCCGTCCTATTTCATGTTTGTATGTGAAATAAAATGTTCATATATTTTAGGGAATGTTATTCAAAGCAAATCAGATGCCACCAGTTCTCGGAGGAAATCCTTTGTCAGGTGGTGTACAATCGCAAAATATTCAATCAAGCATAATAGCGCAGCCACAACAACAGCCACCATCTCATGCACCATCGATTATCGGCGGTCCGCCTATGCCTGTGCCGAATCCTAATTTTAATGTAATGCAAGGTGGAGATATTGATTTACGAGCCATGAATGGCCCAGTATTGGGTGGACCTGGAGGCATGGATCCAAGACAAATGGATCCGCGTATGGCACGTGGAATCGACCAGGACATGCGTGCAATGCCAAATCCGGTACCACCGCCGCTCATGGATCCACGTGCACAACGGCAAATGCCGCCGCAACAGGTGAACCCACAACCAACATTCCCAACGGATCCAAGACAGAGGCAAATTGATCCTCGCCTACGTGGAGCTGCAGGTGGTCCCACTGGGGTTCCTGGTCCCGCTATGTCGCAGCAGCAACAAACAGCTCAACAGCAGCTGCAAAACCGTTTAGCTTCAAATTGTGGCATTCCAAACGACGCAACTGATCAGGAAAAAGCCGCTCTAATAATGCAAGTTTTGCAGCTTTCAGATGAACAAATTTCGCAATTACCACCAGAGCAACGGGCGAGTATACTGGTGCTCAAGGAACAAATTGCAAAGAGCACACAACGTTAATCTAAAAGCATAAACTTTTGAAGCATGTATTTTCTTTTAGCATAAAATATACTGCAAAGACGATTGGATTTTTTCGAACACAATATATGTAAATGCAACAATCGATTTCATAAAAATACTTATGTAGACTTTATTACGGTTCAAGGAAGTGTGACTAAAGCCTGGTGCAATTTTTGTACTGCTGTATTAACTATTTGTCGTAAGCTGTCATCTTCCGGACAATGCACTTGCTAAACAATAAAAACGATATCAGCAAAATTTGTATACTTTCATGTGCTTTAACTTACTAATGTTTCCAAATTCACTTCCGCTCGCTTTCCCGCCACAGTAACGGGCAAAACATCACCTTTGAACATTTTTGGTACAGAATGTTCCCCGAATGTGTCTTGAAGCGTTTCTACCAAACATTCTTTGAAATGGGTGCGATCTGATTTTGAAAGGGCAGTGGCACCTTTAATACTGGTGCCCCCCATTTCAGTTTGCATAATGCATGCTAGAACTGAATCAGCAAACATGTCATTCACAGGTGTTGCCTGCCACTCCATAATAATGATTTTTCCCTCCACCAAGAGGTCGATGCACTTGAATGCACGAATACGTTTCTCTTCCTCAATAACTTCTGTTGTACCAGCACCACCAATTCTGTCCAATAACAACTTTAAAGTACCTAAAGGACTATTCCAAGGAATGGACTGTCGCTGTGTTACGACAGACATGCTCATGTCCGTGTACTCTAAAAAAAAAAATAAATTAAGTTTTCCAAAATGAGTCGAATATTAAAATAATAAGTCATACTTGATAAATCAGACGCTGCTAAAAGATGGTACTTAAAGTCGCGTTTCACCAACACTCCGGACAATTTTTTGCCAACCTCTGGTTTGGTAGCCGCCAAATTGCCCATCACTTTGGCGGTTTTTTCACCACGGAAATAGAGTTCAACAGAATGTGTGTTACGTGGATTATAAAATTTTATATTTGTAGAGGTATCTGCCTCATATTCTCGCTGCAGGGCCATTTTTAGACGAGACATTTCGTTCTGTTCTCCATGAACTAACACCTAAGAAAATGCGAGCTCTAAACTGATGTATGTTTTAGAAAATCTCTTTTTAAACACTTACCACATGTTGAGGTTTTAGAAGACGGATGAATTCGCTTGTTTGTTGGTAATCAGTATGTGCAGAGAAAGAAATGTAGTCCACTGACATATTCAGCGGCAATTTTTGTCCAGCCAGTGTCGTAATTTCTTCTGGTTCTGAAAGTATGGATTTCGCCAAGGTACCTTCGACGCAATACCCAGCAATAATAACTCCATTTTTAGGATCTGTGCACCAGTTTTCAAATAGTTCTCGCGATAAACCGCTTTGCATCATTCCTGGCGATGCCATTATAACGCAAGGACCAATGTCGTCGAAATGGTCGATGCCTTTTAGATTGGAAATATGTCGGAATACAAACGGATTATTCACAGCGATTTGACGTCGAATTTTATCATTCATTGCATTAATGTATGTCTGATAAACGGCCATACATTTCTTAGCCAGAGATGAAGCATAGTAAATGGGTATTTCGTGCAGCTCAGGATTCTGTGACCAATATTCATCCAGTATAAGTAGCAACTCTTGGGCGCGGCCTAAGGCAAAAACTGGGATCAAACAACGTCCACCTTGTTGGACAATCTTCTGCACCAAAGAGGTAAAACGGTTTTCTCGATCTTCTCGTTTTTCATGTATATGAGTACCATAAGTGGATTCAGTGATGAGAACGTCAGGCTTAATGGGCGGTATTTCCGCGGCCATCAAATGACGATCTTCTTGTCGAGAAAAGTCGCCGGTATAAAGTATTTTAACTCCAGCGATTTCAATTAGAAACATGGCTGCGCCAAGCACATGACCCGCATTATAGGCGCAAAAGCGAACACCCATAACATCTCTTTCTTCGTGAAAATTTATAGTCTCTATTTTCTCCATCGACGCTTCCAGATCGGCTTCAGTATAGAGCATTTGTTCGGTGGAAATATTACTAATTTTTATGTAATCTGATAACATCCATCGATAGATAGCTTTTGTGGCGTGCGTCATAAAGCATCGGCCCCGAAAACTCGTTTTCATGAGAAACCATGGTAAAGCTCCACAGTGGTCCAAGTGGAAACTATACATTTTGTTCATTATAAAATTTAGTTAGTTTCATTTCACATAAACAAAGTATTTTTTGGAGCACCTACTGTGATATAAAGAGGAGATCCACCTCATCGGCTTCTATTAAATCTACGTAAGGTAATGCGTCCATACCGGACAAACCAGGATGGATACCACAATCGAGCTGTAAGTTTTTTTTTTATTAATTAGTTCTATATGACAAAAATTAAAGCCCCTTATACCTACGTACCATAATTTTTTTGCCTTTGAAGTCTAATATTATACAAGATCTCCCAACTTCCTGGCCCGCGCCTCTGAGTTGACAAAAAAATGTTAAAGCAGATGAGAATGCAGTATGAGTTTTACTTACAGCGGCTTAATTTGAAGGAGATCACTCTCTTCCGCGGGGACTCTATCATCGATACGTTGTGACATTGTAATTAATCCTTAACAATAAAGATTAGATTATTGGAAATAAACACGCGATATGTACAAACTATTTTTCAGGATGAATTAGCTTCGTTTCTTAACAGATAATTATCACTAATTTCTGCTGGAAAGCGTTTCTTAACCCAAAAATTTAGAAGAAACTAGCAGCTCTCTCTCATCTGCATTATGCTTGCTTTGCTATTGACATTAGGTTTGTTCGTCGAAAATCCAGCAAGAATTATCCAACACTCAAAATATCAGAGAGTAAGAAAAAATTCTCTCAAATTCTCTATCATGTTGAGAAACTTGCAAATTTCTGCACGAACGCAAATTTGCAGGAATTTGCAAGTTTCCCTGCCAGCTGGCGTCCACGGTTGCATTTCAAACATAAAAAATGTTTATAGAATTTTTAAAATTCTTTCGGATGGCCAAAAACAGGATATACATGTATATTTCTTGTTGCTCTGACTTTCTTTAACGGGGGTTCTTAATCGACTGGTTGAAATTGCATTCCGATTGCGAATACCATTTTTTTCAGCCGAATTAAGTTCAAATCAATGGAATTAACTAAATTAATTATATCAACAATTATTTGCTTCCTTTTTTCATAAATTTTTTTATAAATTTTTATATTTAACGAACTAATTTATTCAAATTATTGTAGACAAAAATGCAACCATGCACCACAACCACATGTATTTCGTGTTTGCTAATTCTTGCTTGCTCTCACAATTTTTGAGTGTTGGATAGTTTTTTGGTCTGCACGAACGCGATTTGGGCAAAAATCGTGATAATTCGTACAAATTCGTACAAATTTTTTGCTCGACGAACAAACCTATTTTCGTTGTTTCCCATTTAAAGAACCAAAAACTTGGATTCAACAGAATTGAAGCGTGTAAGGGCAAATAGAAAACACAAAAGAGAATGAGCAAAAAATGCTTTCAAGTACTTGAATCATGTAAATCGGCTGTTTCAGCATGAACGAAAGACACAAGATCACGCCTTCCCGAAAGAAAGAAAAGTTATTTTCTAGCTGTTGAAATCTCGACGCCATCTTTGTTGTAAGAAGTAAACAACGAAGAGAACAAAAAAAAACCGCGTAATTGTTGAATGCATGAATAATCATTTTTATTATGCAAATTCTTCTATAAATCATGTCGTGGTGTTAAATTATTCTTTACCTTATGTGTGCACACGTTGTCACAAGCGAAAATTGCAGTAAAAAGCCACCACCAAATTGTAAACAACGAACATATGTAAACAAACGGCTAATGTCAAAGTCGCCCAACTTTTTTCCTAAATGCGATTATAACGGGCTACTAAGAAGAAGGCGTGATCTTTTATTTTTGGTTCATGGTCTTTCAGCTAGTTTTGCGTTTCTTTACTATTTCTTTATTTCGCTCTCTGTGAACGTAGCTCTCTCAATCTTCCCATTCTTCTTCCTGATAATTATCTGCTAGAAAAGTAAAGACACAAAACCACTGTGTATGCAGCCCACTTTGTAAAAGCCGCTAACTGTCAAAAACAGCTGTTTAAATCCTTTTCTTTCTGGGTTGACGTGCTTCTCAATCATATACATACAAGCATGATAAAAATATAGTAAGGTAGAACCGCTGAGTCACTTTTAAAATTCTTGATGTTTCCAAACAATTTAATTTTTAAATTTACTCACAAACTCACACACACATTTTCATTTTCAAACTCAAGCAACAACAATTTCGAACAATTTCATTTTCTTATTTTCACTTTTATATGATTTTAAAATGTTGGCAAACTTCACAAAAAATCATGGCCGACAAATTGAGAGAACGGTTCTACCTTGCTATATTTTTTTATCATGCATACAAGAATGACATGATTCAATCAAAAATTAATAGTTGCGTTCCCTAACTCCCAGAAATAGTAGAATGGAATCCTCCCTTAAAACTCGTTAAATTTTACGAGTATCGTAAAAGAACTGTCAAAATTTGTATGGAGCTCTAATAACGAGCCCCTCGTAAAATAACGAGGCAAATTTGATGCGCAAATGACCTCGCAAACTTCAGTGTTGCCAAGGAGCTAAAAATTTTATATTAAAATGTATTATATAATATTGAAAACAAATGAATAATAATAATATATCAATAAAAATAATGAAATTCATACACTAACTGTGGATTTTCTGCACGGTGGATTCGGTTCGAGGCCATAATACAGAGAAACCCTTACTTGTTTGAAGTATTTTTGTTCCAGCTGAATCTGACGATATCCTTTTTGTAGCCTGGGAGTAGATTCTATAACCAGTTAGCGACAGTTTTCGAATCGATATCGGTTTTGTTGACATATGATATGAAATTATTTTACGTCAACAAGTGCGATATCGATTCGAAACTTTTCGCTAACTGTTTACAGAATCTCCCCCCTGAAAGTCTTCTTCATCCGTCAAAGCATTTTTCTTGAGCCTTGGATCGACTAAGATTAAAACTGATAAAATTATAATTCTCTGTTGCGATAAGTGCAAGTGTTTTAGTTGATATCATATAAATTAGTAATGAAAGTTTTTTTCTAAACTTGAAATGAATATAATGGCGAAGGTTTAATGTAAAGAATCGGTATCGGGTACTGCAAAGGAAGTATTGGGTACCGAAATCTTTTTTAAGTATTGGGTACCGACAATTCAGCACACCACTAGAGAGCAGTTTTATTCGCCGCTCTCCGCTGTCAACTCTACGATGCCGTCCCTCCAAAATTAAAGACTCTGTTGTGCATACTAGGCATTGCCTCAGAGTTGTCACATAAGGAATCTGTTAAATGAGCTTCGCGTGTAAGCGGTTACCCAATGCACAGCATTACATGCGTAGAGGTCTGTTGATTTTTGATTTCTACGTAAAAATGGTATAGCAATGCATGCATTGCCAAGTATGCATACCAGAGCCTTTACTCTCACGAATTCTGCTGCTATCGGCGACTTCTTGCGTGACGTAGACGAGGCTTCTCTCTCAATCATCAGAAAACTTTGTTTCTACGAATTTTTACGCTACGCTACGTACACGTTCGGGCGTAACCCCGCTCTAAATGTTTAATGTTAAATTTGTTTTGCTTGTGTCATTCGTTACTTCCTCTTCAGACGAAGCCATTCCCAATCATGGCTGAGTTATGTGTCATTCATTGGCCGTCACTCCCTTTCATTTTCTCTATTGGTTTGATTCTAAATTCGCAGTCACACAGTTTCCACAAAAGAAAATTTACCAATTTTTTGTGCATACCAATTTATCAATAAATTGCACTTAATTCTAAAAATCAAAACTGGAAATAAAACGTAGTGAAATGTGTTAGAAAAGAAGTGGTTTTAAGACCGCGAAATAAAATTGCCTGGTTGTGAAGTGTCAGCGAAACTGAAATTGTGCTGAAGAATGACGTAAAAACTGAAAATTTGCCAGAGTCGAAAATATAATTCAATTTTATTGTAATTAAGCAACGCCTTACATATGTATGTATATGACTGTTAAGTATTCGGAGTATAGGATATATTAAGATTACAAAATGAGTAAGCCAGAAACAGATTCCGATAGTTCGGAAGAATTTTTCGATGCTGAAGATTCAACGCCCAATCGCCTTTCTACCCTAAGGTTTGTAGTATTATGTATGCTTCTGAAACAGGAAATCAGATCAAAGAACAAAATGGCATCTGTTATCAACTGAGTTTCCAAAAATTCCATTTTTTTTACAGTCGCAAATGCAAGTTATCACTTGAAAGTACGCAAACGCAAGATGGATTTATTTTTCCAGATCCGGCTGTGCGTGTTAACCCCTCATCCGATAGCGATGCGACTCCGATAGGAGGTGGTACGCCAGCCACTAGTAGTCCAACCAGTAGTCTTAGCTTGGGTGCTCGCGGACCCAAGCCGGACATGTTTGTCGAACCGAAACCTGTCCAGGTAAGAAAGTAGCTAAAATTCAATCTAACATTTCGTTAATGTTTTAGAATTTATGGCACTATAATCATAATTAAATTTATATGTAGCTGTTTGCATGAAAGTTTATTGACCTGTTTAATAGTATATTAGGTGGTTTTTGTAATAAACAACAAAATTGTTTAAAGTATTTGCGCCTAACTTCTACGAGAAAGTCCATTAACTAAATATTAATATCAGTATGTAAATCAGTTGTTCGCTCAAACGCTTTCGATTCCACTTCAAAAACTTTTTAGGAGACTTGCTGTTAGCTATGTACATACATATGTACAAATGCGCCTAGAGCATATAGAAGCAATCCTTCATGAAAAAGAAAATTAAAAAAAAAATCTCGCTAACTTTTTTTTGGGAAATTAGTATACTTACATTACACAGTACACTTGCTTAATAAGCCGCAGGTGTTCACAGTTTTAACTCTGCATAATTTTGGTTTAAAATTAGAACTGCTCAGTTTACACCAAATTTAT